AAGTTTTCGATAAGTTTAAAAAGGAGGAGTGATCTGCTATTGTGGATGCAGTTTTTGTAAAAGTGAAGGTAAGTTAATTTATAGACAAGTCCTTTTATTTGCGTTGATGTTATTCGGATTAATCATTGTTAGTAATTTTTTTCTAGGAATATTTCGAGTAGAAGTTTGAACAGTTGTTTACGATTGTCAACAAATCAAACGGAATGGATGATGACAATTTTGATTTCAGTAAGCATCGAGAATATGATAGGATGAATGACTCTTACGAACATCCATCGGCTTTTGAAGGCGATCAACATGTTCAAGAACAAGTTAAAGATGATGCATTGCATAAAGTCGCAGATGATAATGCTACACATAATGAAGCGGCTGTTGAAAGCGAAGGACAAGGTGCAGATGATCAAGTTGTTGGAAAAGGCAATTTGTTTGGTGATGGAGATCAAGCACCTGTTTGTAATTTAGAACTGAAAGGGAGTGATGCGTCTAGCACTACTGAGAAAGACGATCAATATGCATGATTACTAGCTATTTGTAAAGAACTTCTAGGCGGTGATACACAGGAAATTGTTACTACAGGTACAAAGTGTGAAGTTTATAATATTTTAATGATACCTTAGATAGGAGCTGAAGTTTTGTTTCATGTGACTGTGTTTTTTTTTAAAAATACAGCATATTTTTTGGTGAATGTTTTGGTTTGTAACTGGTGAACTTCATCTATAGAGCTGAAGTTTTTATTTTTATAACTGTCGAGCTTCAACTATATAGCTGAGGTTTTTTTCTGTAACTGTCAAAGTTTTTGTTTGTTACTGGCTAACTTTAGCCTTCTTTGAGTTGAAGTTTTATCTATTTTTTTATAATATTCTGTAGTGAAATTTTCACTACAGATATAAATATTTTTTATGTTAAAAAACTAGTTGATCGATTCCTCCTCTTTATGAATATGCAATGGAAGTTGAAACTAGTCGTGCTTCAATTGATGCAACTCAAAAACTCTCTGATGATACAGAATTAAATTAATGTAGAGTTGAGAGAGCCCTTACAAAGAATACTCAAATGCTTGTCGACATTGGTCCACAATTGAATGAAGCTGGAAATGCTGATATTGACAAAGGCATGCAGCCTGGGGAAACCATAGCTTAAGACAAACGTCAAGGTATTCTATAGATCATGAATTTATTATATTTGATCGATGTATATTTTTTACAGTTTGAAATTTTATATACTTTATTTTCTTTTTTATGTTTTTGAATGATTTTTCAGAAAGACTCGAGGCAACTCAAAAAGAATTTGGTGAGCTTGTGTAGCTATATGAAAAAGGAAAAGTAGATATATTCACACCTGTTGCCTCACAGATAGGTGTGAATTGTGTTGATATTATTTTATAAAATTTAGTCAGTATTATTTATTTATTTGCATGAAGATACATGATCTGTTAGAATGCAAACACCATATGTCTCTCAACACTTAGACCAGGTAGCTATTTTCTGCTATTCTATTACAAGCTATTTTTTTTGCCTAATGCGTGTTTTCTATCAGTTTTATTTATGTTTATATTTTTCTTGCTTTTGCAGATCTCATCTGATGCATCAGAACTTCTTCCAAAACCTAAGAGAAGGAAGATTTCCAGTTCTCCTATGTGTGACACCAATGATATCCCCAACTTCAATTTATGCTCATTTTCACTTAGTAGTACATAAGGGACTGATTCAGGAGGTAATTCTGCTGCTGTTGTTGTTCGTGAAGAGACACAAGAATGTCGTGAACAGCAGGGAGTTGGTCAAACATCTGCCACGACGGCTGTAGTTTTTCCCCCTGCTGCTGAACAACAACAGTTAGTTATGAAAGAACAACAGGAACATCAAGCAAAAGGAAAACCAGATAAAAAAGGGAAAATGAATCATATGGAGAGTATTTGATTGAGATCTCCTTACGTAGTTCATAAAAAAAAAGTAAAGGGGTGAAGATTGGAAAGTTGGAAAGAATACAAGAAGGTGTCCCTTCCATTATGTTAATCAAGACAATAGATTGATGGAAAGATTTAAAGAGTGGTTGGAGATGGATGCCAGTGAATATGATTCCAATCGATTCAGATTAGCTGGACTTGATATTCCAAAAATTATTCTTTACCGAACTTATAGATCCTGACTCTAATTTTGCGGATGAAGTAAGTTATTAAGTTTATTTTTTGAATTGGTTTTCAACTGTATTTCCCAAAAGTTTAGCTTATTTTTAATAGTATAGTTTTTTGCACTGTAATTTTGAAAACTTCAGCTTTATTCATAGTAAAGTGTTGAAGAGTTTTAGCTTATCTGCTAAAACTTCAGCCTAACACTTCAAACTGAATATGCTTAAGTTTTTGTCGTGCTGTTTGTAGTTATGTAATGTGTTTTTTCTAAACTTCATAGTGGTAATTTCACATGTTATCATTTGTCGTTGTTGATTTGCAGCATATTGATGTGGGCATATATTACTTGCGCAAAAAATATTACTATCACCTTCCACATTATCCAAAATCAAGATGTGCAATAACAGATTTACTTTTCGATCAGTATATGACTATCCTGGATTATATTCATCCTTCAGAAGAAAAGATGAAGATAATTAACAAAAGGAAGCAAAAGAGAATGAAGGATAAAAAAGAGCAAATCAAAGAGAAATAGAATATCCAACCAACAGCTTGAAGAAGAAGAAGAAGCAGTTATTAAGCCACTTACGGACTTTAGTTGGTATGAGGAAGAATCAACGAATGAAAAGGTGGCCAACTACGTAAAAGGCCTTGACCTTTCATGTGGTATCTCATGGGCATCTGCCAAAAAAGTATTATTTCCATTTCAACTTAAGTCAAAGGAGGGCTAGAAATCTACGCACTACTTTTTTGGAATTCTGGACTTTGAAGAAAATTCTATATATGTGTATGATTCCATGAGCAGTGAAACATACGATTGTGCGCTTAAACATGTCAGAATTTATGCCAGGTTGATCCATATTGTCTCAAATGCTTGAATTTTGGGGAACATAATAAATTTTATGGAGGCGGTCCCGTAGAAAAATTTAAAATTAGGTGGATGAACACACCGGAACAGACTAACAAGTACGTGTTTCACATATGTTTTACCATGCATCTTATGTTTATTATTTTTTTCCCTTGTATTAACTATTATTTAATTTATTTTTCATATTTTTTTGCAGTGTTGATTGTGGTATATTTGCTCTTAAGTTTATTGATTTGAGGTTGAAGAGAGAAGATGTCTTCAATTTCAATCAAAATCAGACATTGACATTCAGGAGAGAATTGGCTGCCAATATTTGGGCTCATAGAAAGTGGAAAAAAGATAACGGCTATGAAATTCCAAAAGAACGAGAAGGAGATGATTATGGAGATTTTGAAGAGACTTTGTGAATTTTTTGGTTAGAGGATTGGTTGAACATATTTTGGATTTTGTGAATATACATTAATTATTTTTTTAGTTCACTTTTTTTGTCTTAAAAATATGTTTGTGTCTTTTATCATGAATTTTAAGTACAGTTTTTGTTTGAAAAAACTTAAGCATGACTTCTTCTTTTTCAGCTGAAGTTTTGTTTAAAAATAATAAGAAAACTATTGAATCCAACATAAAAACTTCAGCTTATCAGGTGCTGAAGTTTTTGAAAATATACTAAAAAACTTCAGCACATTGGGCTGAAGTTTCTTGAAAAAGCTTTAAGACAAAAACTATTAAATCCAACATGAAAACTTCAGCTTATCATGTGCTGAAGTTTTTTGAAATATACTAAATAACTTCAGTACATTGGGCCAAAGTTTTTTGAAAAGGCTTTACGACAAAAACTATTGAATCCAACACAAATACTTCAGCTTATCAGGTGCCGAGTTTTAAGAAATATACTAAAAACTTCAGCACATTGGCCCGAAGATTTTTAAAAAAAGCTTTACGACAAAACTATTTAATTCACGATAAAAAACTTCAGCTTATGATATGCTTTTTAGCAATGAACTAAAAAACTTCAGCACATGGGGCTGAAGTTTTTGAAAAAGATTTACGACAAAACTATTTAATTCACGATGAAAAACTTCAGTTTATGATGTGCTGAAGTTTTTAGAAATGAACTAAATAACTTCAGCACATGCGACTGAAGTTTTTTAAAAAAGCTTTAAGACAAAAACTTTAGCATATTTTGGTATTTTTTTAACTTGATTCTTATCTTTTTTGCATTTTCTTGCTACTTTTTGTCATTTATCACCTATATCACCTACTTTTTGTGGCCTTATTTTTTACTTTTTTCTTGTTGCATTTACCACTTAATTATTTTGCCAAATACTTATCTTGTTACATTTAATTTCTCTGAACAAAAAATAGTTAACAATCTTTTCAGCATTTATAGATATTAAATTGATTAGGTGCACTCTTTGGCTATATTAGTAATCTCTTCACTTGAAAATTTTATAGTCATCCATAGACTTCTATCATATTTATTTAAATTTGTATTCAAAGAAAAATAAGAAAATGTTGGATAAGACATGCTTATTGGGTGTAGCAGGGAGTTCGTGGGAAGCAAAGATAGTGAGGGAGAAGTCGAAATACTTGATATGTTAATAAGAGTGGCCAGATCAAATACTCGAGCACCAGGACAATTTGCTCTTTTTACTAGTTGATAAATCTAACTTTTAGGAAAAAGAGCAAATTTCCTGGGGCTCGAGTTTTTGATGTGGCCACACTCCGTCACATATGAAGTATTTTAGACTTCTCCTTCACTATCTTTGCTTCCCGCGAATTCCCAGATGCACACCAATAAGCGTGTCTTTGGCCAATATTTTTTTATTTTTTTCTTATGAAAGAAGATGGGAGTTGCTAAAAAAATTATAGTACTAAACCTCGTCAACCTGTGTCTGACAGAAAATGCTTTGGTGGAAGACATAGTGAAGGTTCATGGAATGTAGTTAAGAAAGCCAAGAATAGTAACTAGGACATGACTATGGAGAATATGAGCATTGCAGACCGATAATGGTTGTTGACGGAAGTTTCCTTAAAGCAGCATATAAGGGTACCAGACTGCTTGCACTCAGGATGGAGCTGGTGAGTTGATTGCATCTACCTTGTTTTTGCAGTTTGTATAATGTTGTAGTTTCATGTATAAAAGTGTACAGGATTTCACAGCTGATGTTTTTATAAAATTTGCAGTTGGTATAAAATTATATAATTGTGTATAACTGTGTATAAGATTTACATAATTGTCTGAATCCTAATATCTATTTTGTATAAACACGAAAAATCCTTCCACTTGCATATGCAATTGTAGATTCAGAGAGTAATAAATCTTGGAAGTGGTTCTTTGTCCAGATAAAGGGTACTTTTGGAGTTAGGGAAGGGATGTGTATAGTTTCAGATAGAAATGAAAGCATCTTTAATGCCATAAAAGTTGTATACCCAGAAGTACCACATTGTATTTGCATGTTTCACTTGTGGCAGAATGTTACAAATAATTGAAGGATATTTTCTTTGCTTTGGCTAGAGCTTACATGATAGAGAAGTTTGAGTACCATATAACAGTGATGTGCAAAATTGATCCGATAGTGCAACCATACTTTTTTGAAATTAGCTACGAATGGTGGTCTAGGACATATTCCAAAATGAAAAGGTCGATGGCAATGACTTCCAATATTGCAGAGTCAATTAAAGCAGCAAACAAGGATGCTACAGAGTTACCAGTAATGCGATTGCTGGAGTACATGACAAATTTGCTACAACAGTGGAACAACAAAAATAGAAAAGTGCAATGGAGACATCTACAGAGCTTGACGAAAAGCACGACAAACTCCTTTGGGAAAATCGAATTGCATCGGAGCAAATAAAAGTAAAATGAATTAAATATAATGATGCTTGGCACTGCTGAGTTGCATTTTACTGCTTGTATAAGGATGTATAACTCTGTATAATAATGTATAATGTTCTTTAGCTTTTTTTTAAAAAAAAAACTTTTGTAGGTGAGGCCTGCTACGGAGCAGTTATATACTGTGTTTGAAGGGGTAAGGCGAAACATAGTGTGCCTTGAAGAGGGAACATGCAGTTGCAAAAAAATTCAAATGGATGAACTTCCATGTCCACATGCTTGGGCGGTTTTGAAGAACCAGCAACTGAAACCTGGCCAGTATAACTCTTTTTACTACAAGAATGATAAACTCCTTAGAACTTATGAATTTCCAGTGAATCTGATGCCAGATAAGAGTTTATGGGTATGCCTAACAGAGGTGATGGAATATATGGTCCTACCACCTAAAGGGAGACGGAATGCAGGAAGGCCAAGAGAGGAAAGACTCAAACCTGCTTCAGAAAAAGAGTCTAAGAGGGCATTTTCATGTTCTGTGTATGGACAAGGTGGTCACAATAGAAAAATATGTAGGAATAGACCAAAATAAATAGTTGGAAACATAATATTTCCTATTACATTTGTTGTCATGTTGAGTAGCTAAGTTTCACAAACAATAGAGTTACAAATATTGAGTTGTTAAGTTTCACAAGCAATTGACATGTTTCATTATTTTGATTATCCAATAATAATGTCTTGCTGTTTTTAATGGTACTAAATATACTGATAGATGGTAGAGATACAAAACAGAACTGCAAATAATCAATGTTATTATATATATACAGATGTATAAATGAGGGTATAAGTTTGTATAAATTTGTATAACTATGTATATTATTATATACATATGTATAAACCCTGCTACATTAGCAAAACTGCAACCATAATGAAAATACATACTTTGTTAAAGGACAAAGCAACTAAAAATATTCATTAAAATGTAATTCATTCACAACCACAATGTGTAATGACTACCATAAATTACATAAAAAAAAGGATCTATAATATCCTTTAAGGTTATCTCACAAGTAGCAGAATAGTACTTAGACAAAACTAGGCTAAAACTCCTGATACATAGAAAAACTACAGTAAAATGAAAAAATCAGAACTACTTTCTCGGTCGCCCCCTTCTCCTCTTCTTGAAAATCTCCCTGTGATTTCATCACCGTTAATTGGACTGGACTGTTGTTTTTTCCTTCCATAATCCCACAACAGAGATCACCACCTAGTGCGAAGTATCCCAATGCCAAAATTATCTTTTCAAATTTCCTTACCAAGGATGAAATACTTAGCAAAGACAACAATAAAAGCACCACAATCACTGTAATTAAAAGAGAAACAAATCAGATTCAAATAGATACACTAATAGTAAAATAGTAAAACAATTGAGATTAACCTACCATTTGATCTGTTGGGGAACTTTATTAACCAGATTAATCTGCAAAGCATCATAATAGAATTTATCGGTATATGCACCATTGTTCCAATCAATGCCCTTCTTCTCGACATAAAAATCAGAACTCTTCAGGAAGTAAGGTATCAGAATTGCATAAGGTAATGCAACATCCAAAGCAAGTCTATCATTAATAGTTTCACAGTTAGAGTCATAGATGTGGATGCATCTATCTATGAACGTAAACACCCCTAAAACCCAATGGCCCAATTTTTCTCTTCCATGCTTCACATAGATACGGAATAAGACGTGGTCAACAATGTGCCACACACATTTGCATCACAATAATATCCTCTAATGTGCTCTTCTATCTCATGCCCTTCAGGAATCACTGAAGGATCTTCATTCACTTTGAAATCTTTATATAGGGAGTTGATTTTGTTACCAAAGGCAAAGTTGGTTGTAGTAAACCGCACGGCAACACTCGGCCCATATTTTCCCCTCTTCCTCAAATAATAAAAGAGGACATTCAAGTGCTGAGACAAGAAATAAAACAGAACAACCATCACTACCAGATTTTTTAAATATAGAAATTTATACACTATTATATAAAGGTACATGTTTATACAAGGTTATACAATCTTATACAATTTTATACTGTGATTATACAATGCTATGTATATACTATGGAGGTCTCAAACAATAAATATATGCAACAAATAAAAAAGACATTAGAACAAAAATTTATTAAATACTGTGTCAATCAAAGGTCGACTACAATATGCAAGTGAGTGGAACCAATCATTCGTGGTCACATTACATTAGCCAAAAGTAAAAGCTTACTCAAGATTATTTACTTCATCGGGATATATATTTTTGGAACTTCAAATCACAAAAAATAAAAAGTAATCAGAACTACATTTATTGACAAGTATTATAAAATCAGAACATAAAAGATTAAAGAAAGTGAAGATACCTTCGCCTCATATCCATCCCATTATCAACAAACGCACAAAACTCTTTAGCCATTGCCGACAATGGATCAAAATCATCAATTTCGATCGTGAAAGGATGCTTGATATCAAAAATGAGCTTGGGCGTCGATCCTAATGCCCCCAAATCAAAAACTGGCAAATGTGGAGATTTGGCATATTTTCCTGGTATTTTCAATCGAACTGACTGTTTAAGAGAAATATAATCATCTTCTACGTCTATGATGGATTGTTTGTGAAGCACAATTTGGGATATCGGTAGAGCAGCTACATCTTCATCGCCAATGTCATCCCAAAATGTGTCACCCTTGACATCACCTGCTGCCCCTTATACAAAGAAAACAAATAATAAAAAACTTTAAAATGAAGAAAAGAAAAATCAGACAAAAAAAAGATAAAATGCAGAACAAATACCATGATCAATACCATCAGTAACTCCCCCGTCAACTAGCACATTATCTTGATTCACTTGATTGACAAAGTCAGGAATAACATCATATTGATAGCCATCAAATTCGCCAAGACCAGATGTATTGTCATCAGACATGCGCTGATGAATCTAATAAAAAAATAATAGAAAGAAAAGGCATGTTGAGTGATGATTCATAAAAGGCATAACTGTTGAGTGATTTGGTTTTATCAGTAAACAATTACCTTAGAATCAGTAACCTCCCTCGTTTGCTTGGTTTCCTTCATATTCAGAAAGCTGAACACTTTTTCAAAGGAATAAACTACATAATTTTTGAATGTCGTCACAGTATCAGTCAACTACAAAAAAAAAAGCAAATCAACAACCGTATTTATAACCAAAAAACCATATATATACAAAAAGTACTGATAAACTACAAAATAGCTAAAGGTCAGTACCTTTCCAACAGCACTCCTCAACTTCTCAACTTCAACATTCAACAGATCAATGCGCACCAAAGGATCATAACTCGGGTTAGGCTGTCGATCCATATTTTGAGGAAAAGGTCGTTTAGACTGTTGCTCCGTATTTTGAGGATAAGGTCGTTTAGACTGTTGCTATATCTTCTGAGGACAAGGTGGAGATACAGTGATAGAATTATCAGTGTGAAAGGCAGGCACCTCCCCTGATGCAACATCATAGGCATTAACTTCAAAAAGTGTGTTGATGTTCAGAGTTGACATCTCTTCACGAGTAAGGGAAATGTTTCCTATAGTCCAACTACAAGAAGAAAAACTGGATTACAATAGTAAAAAAAGAAAATTGTGACATATTCATAAATATACATATAGAAAAACTGAAATCATATATTAAGAAGTATTATGGTACAAAATGTTTATCTTGTCGATACTACACATGATCACCCCGCCAGTCAAATCCGCATATGCTGGAGTTTCAGTCACTTTCCAATTAAGAATGCATGGCACATTTGTGCCAACGCGAACAGCTAGATGCTTGTCAACCATAGAGCATCACTCAAAAAACCATATTTGTAATGCAAGTGGCAAACCTCCAAGCCTATACATTGTCAAATAGTCACACTGTCTGTCCCTCATTGTCCTTAAAATTTCTTCAAGTGACTTTTTTCCCCAAGCATACATATGATATTGACCACTTTCAATGATATCAAAATTATCTTTGTTGATACCATGATTATTGGCATCTGTGAATATGAAATGATGGATAAACACCATCAAGGCCATCTTGAATGCATCTTCGTCCGACTTTCAGTCCTTTTTCTTGAAGATATCAAGAAGTTTCCCCCTCGTTATAGCCTTTTTTCCATCTCCTGAAAAATACTCTTTTAGTAACCTATTCATATCTAGTTTGTCATAGAAAGTGACGTCGTCTTCTATACACTTCAAACCAGTGATAACAGCAAACTCTCCAATGCCAAAGCGCAACAAACAATCATTAATTTTCACCCACAACTCCCTTTCATGTCCTGGGACGACATCCCTCAATAATATACAATGAATAAGTTGATTTTGAATTTTAAAATGAGGGAGGACCAAAAAGTACCCAAAACAACTAGCACGGAATATTTGAAGCTGCGTGTCAGTCAAACATTGCTTCAAAATGCTCATAATCTCAGTCTCGGTATGGGAACTAATCCTGTTATAGAAAAAATCAACTGGTTGTATGTAGAAGTCCCCAACCTTGCATATAGAAAAATACCAAGAAATAGATCAGGAACAAAAACTATACTAAATTTTTTTATAAAAATGTATAAATAAGTATAGCAGTACTTGTATAAAGATGTATAAACAGCTGTATAACTTTGTATAAGTATGTATAAATTAATAGCAACACAGGGAATACCTTCAACTTAGCTTTTCTCTCATTTAATTTGCAGCGAATACCAAACCTGTGTTCTTTCGATATGGAATCAAGGCCACTCTCACCATCGTCCTTGATATTTCTCCTTTTCGGTTTAACATTGCAGCCTACATCATCTTCATTAACCAAATCAGCTTTCAGCTTTTCTTTTGATTTTTTAGGTCTCCCACATTTCTTACTCCTTATTCTAACGATGTTAACCGGAATAGGAGTATTACTTATTTGCGATCGAGTCATTCGACTGTTCCCTTGTTACAACTTTTTTAGAGGAGGGGGAGACTCAAAATCATCATCATCGGGAGCCTGGACATGTGTATTCGCTTCAGAATAAGGGGGTGAGGGAAAGTCCCTCGATGATTTAACTGGAGCGGGAGTATTTCTTGTTTGCGAACAAGTCATCCGACTACTCTCTTGTTGCGAGTTTTTAGGAGGAGCAGGAGACTCAAAATCATCACCATCTGGCGCCTGGACATTTACATTAGATTCAGAATCAGGGCTTGAGGGCAACTCGCTCAATCTTTTCGCATAATCTAACTTAACGCCTTTTCCAGCAATCTTCATTTTGCTTTAAGAAGCAGGTATATTTTCTACAATAAACCAAACAAATAAAGCTTTAACAAAAGTGAAGACAACTGAAGGAAAACACAAAAATCAAACTATAACAAAACTCAAAAGTTAACCAAAAATAAAGGCCATGAACACAAAGCATAGGCCAATTTTTTCAAATTGTAACAAAACTCAAAAAATTAAAAATTCTACCCTAAAAGTCGAAATAACAAAGCATGCAAACTGAAAAATCATGTTTAAGCCTAGAACGAATATAGAAGGAACACAAAATCAAACGAAAAATACAGCAA